ATAGATAGATAGATAGATAGATAGATAGATAGATAGATAGATAGATAATAGTATATATGTAAATATATACACTACACTCTACATTTTCACATTCTTGACATTATTTTTCAAGGGCCACAGCTTTCAGGAATAGATACTCAAGCCAAAGTCTCCCTTCCCTTAGCGTACCTTGCTGAGGGCGGGTCCCAGCAACTTCTGTGGAAGTAAGGGATCATTAATTGGACTTTCTACTGTTTCCTCTTCTACCAACTTTGTAGATCAGAGGAAACCAAAACACAGCTTTCATCACATAAGAACTTGAGGGAAAATTTTGGAATTTTATCCAAGAAGAAATATTTTTATTTATTTTTGCAGTCATCCACTTATGCCCCCTCCATCCATTCAGGTAACACTTATTAAGCACCAGCTGTCAGGTTGGGTGCCAGAATCATGGTGAGAAATACTAAAGATGCAGCCCCTCTCCTTCTCCCTCTCTCCCAGCATGCTGTTTGTGGGAAAGACAGCCATAAAACAAGTAACAAAAAGCAGGATGCGGTCTAGAATCCCCGGGTTTACTAAGAAAATCGGCTATGGATGTCTTTGACGCTTCTTAGTCTCTCTACGGACCACAGTTTGAAGCCGAGGGCATCCTCTCAACTTAGGTTTCTACAGCGATCATGTAGTGTGGAGGGTAGGGAAGGAGAGAGGTGAGAGGGACTCTTCTAGAAGGCCAAAGACACAATCTCCATATTTGATCAAACTACAGAAAGCTCCCCCAAAGTCAGCAGACAGGTACCAAGTTATCTCTCCTTGTGAAGAAAGGGAGCTACCTGGCTTTATGCCTTATTTCTGAATCTCGAGTGTCACCTCTCATGGTAAATCACTCAGATAGCCACAGACCCTCTTAGAATACTGCTGATCACAGCACATGACCCTTGCCGGTCACGTGACCCTTGCCGGTCACGTGGGACCCCTCTAGCACACCTAAAACAGGCTTCAATTTTCAACCATTACAAAATAAAGCAAGATACATATTTAACTTCTGGGAGAATTGAAGAAAAAAGAAAAATGAAATGGAAGAAATTAATTAAAGTTGTTAACTGTGACCAATTGTATGTCTGGATCCATGAATCTACCCCTTTACGATCTTAGGATTCTCGCTGATCTCTTCTAAGAAAGGACAGGATCGTGATTAATGATCCATGGGAGGCCAGTGGGGTTAATACTCTTCCTGGGAGGAGTATTTCTGTTCTCATGTGACTCCAGATGTTACAACCCCAGAAAGAATTGTCACAACAAAGGGGCCCATTCCCTCCCAGCAGGCTAGGGTAAAATCCTGGAGGATTTTCGGAGACCGCTCAGGAGATGAAGCCCATTAAAAGGAAGTCTTATTTGGAATACATGGCTTATTGACGTATAGCAAATAAGAGAAGCCTTCCAAAGTTAGAGTTGGTAGGAGGGGAAGTTCTGCCACATCCTCTCAGATAAGGATGGCTAAGTAGGGAGAGACCCCAGAAGAGGAGCTGCCTATCTTCTGGCCCCAGGTCTGCCCTTCTCCCGCCCACATGAGGCTTCTAGCTTCCAGACCTTGCCCGTACTCAGTTCACTTCATCCTGACTCCAAGAGCAGTGTCCGTTTATGTAAGCCTTAGGGTTGGTGGATGTAACTGCTCTCAATTTACTTCAGTGTGAAGAAAGATCTGCCTCAGTAATTTCCCTCAGTAAGGGAAAGCAGGGAGGTGCCCCTTTAATCAACTCTTCTTTGATTGGTTCAATGAGTGCTTACGAACAGCCTACTGTGTGCCCATGAACAGCCTACTGTGTGCTCGGTACTGTTTCTGGCATTGGAAGCACAGTAGCACAGGCACAGACAAGGGCCTTGCCCTCCTGGGAAAGAAACAGCGTGAATTTCTCAAAGCAGTAAATGCATAGAAGACAATGGGAAAGGCTCTGACCTGTGGCTTGTAGTTTCAGGGCAGAAAAAAAAAAAGAAAAGAAAAGAAAAGAAAAGAAAAGAAAAGAAAAGAAAAGAAAAGAAAAGAAAAGAAAAAAAAACCAAACCAACCAAACAAACAAACAAACAAAAACAGACAGTATTAAAGAAACCGAAGACATCCCAGTTTCCCTCTGGATCAAAAAGTAGCACATTGAGTGCCCAAGCCTAGAACCTTCCACAAAAGGCACACAGCAATGTGTGACTAGGACACAGCAAAAGATGGCCCGCCATGTAGAAAACAACTTCATGAGTAGCCTGTCCCTCTCTGCCCACACTCTTCCAGAGGGCCTCCTGATGTCAGCTTGTCCCTCTCAATCCCATTACCCTACTCAGACACCCCAGGAGGAAGTAGGGAATAGCTTGCCTGTCTCAGGGAAGTATCCAAGAAGAAGTAGTTTTGAGCCTGGCCACAGGAAATCCCTATCAACCAGTCCCTCTATTAGGGGCCAAGCCTACTAAGATTGATCCAAGTGAGTCAACCAGCAAACTCCAGTGGGACACAACCTTGGCTTCAGCCGGGCACCTGCTACCCCGTGCTCGAGGATCCCAGGCATTGTGAAGGCAGCCCTTAGGCCGTCTCTCCAGCCAGAGCAGCTATAATGAGGTAAAATAGCTGCTCTGTGGTCAGACACAAATCATGAGCCCACTCCTGCAGTCTTGGGCAAGTCCCTTCACTGACCTGTGCCTCAGTTTTCTCATACATCAAACAAGGAGAGGTAAGGACATCAACTTTGCCTTCTCAAGACAGGTGAGGTGAGAATGGGAAGAAGTAATGGACTTACAGGAACCCTGGAGAGGCCAGCACATCAGAAAGACCCATTAGTCAGCCCACATTGACATAGCTGGTGGAACCCACCTCAAACTGGAGCTAGTGATACCTATACACATGCAGTCACGCAGGCAGGGAAGGAAGGAAGGAAAGAAGGAAGGAAGGAAGGAAGGAAGGAAGGAAGGAAGGAAGGAAGGAAGGAAGGAAGGAAGAGAGGAAGGAAGGAAGGAAGGAAGGAAGGAAGGAAGGAAGGAAGGAAGG